CGCGTTGAAAAATTTCTTTGTATAAAAACAAAATTGCTGCGGAAATTGTTAAACGTCGCATGACGCTTGTGATACTTTAGCCGCAAGATGACGATTTAATACAATATAGGTCAAAATCGCTCTTAAGGATCATCGGTTTCCTAAAAATTTTCTCCTGCCGCAACCAATACGAGGACGGAAAAATTTTACACTCGCTGGAAGCGGAAAAATGTAAAATCAAGGCATTAATTTTTCGCCTGTTCATTAAGCTGCCCTTTAGACGGTGCATTAAGTCCCCCGTCTTGCAACGAGACGCTATTGGGCAGACTTTAACAGAAAAATAGACAGAGAACAATTTTTCCTCGGATTGATGGTCACAGTTAGATAAGATTTATTGCGAGCCAATAAATGTGGACGATTCGGACGACACGACATAAAAATCTTCGCTTAGAAAACTATTGCAGCTCTACTCTGAGGATGTACTCTTGCATACTCCAAAAATTGAAGGCAAAATGATGCATGATCGTAATAAATATTCATGTTGCTTATAATTAAGCTTTTATTTCATTTTCCGTTTTTCATTAATAGTCTAAAAATTTCGTGGAAAGAATAAAATCAGTTTTCTTCAATAAATATACATTCAAAGTGCAAATTTTTAGTACTCTGGAGAAAAAGGCTCTGCGCGGAAACCAGTGGGTGAATTTTTTGAAAATTTTACGTTTTCAGCATTGTAAAATTATGATGAATATTCAGTAAAAGTCGCACAACAAATTACACATTTGCCTTGATCATAATGGATGAAACGTTTGAGGAGATTTTGAGACACCGCAACCAAGATATGCCCTTTCTGCACCCAGCGCTTCATTTTTCTAATTTCAACATTTTCTGCTATAAAAGCTCACCATGAATCTTGAATTTTTCATGTGAGCAAAAACAAAATCCACATTATTATTAATTTTTTTTAAACAATAATGCAAAAAGTAATCATTATTATATCAGTCGGCAGTTGTATGTAATCAATTTTTTCATTAACTCATTTTTAGGAGAAGGAGATAAAATCTTTCTCAAATTAAAAAAAAATTGTTGTTTTTGTGTCCTTTATGATTACTATAAGCTAATTTGTTCATAAAGTCTGAAGCATACATTTGAAACGGGAAGATACACGACGGATAATTCAGCAGTGTAAAATGGTAATGCCACCCTTCATTATCCTTATCAGAAGAAATTTGAAATCTGAAGGTGATACTCCGTAGAAGAAAGTAGAAATTAGTGAAGCAGCCAGTTCCCGCGCTCGACGCGAAATGGTCGAGAGCCAATCAGCGATCAGTGCGCTGGCGCGTAGTGAGGGAAAGGTGAATGAATGCCTTTGGCGAAGCCACTGGCGGTTATTGCTCGACACCTTTCCCCACCTAATCAGCTAATCAGTTTTCCCAAACCCGCGCCGGTCGCCTAGTGCTGTGCCATTTGTGTCTGTCATAACCTTTGCTGTGCAATAAGTGCCCATCATTTAGTTTCTTATCAATGTTGTATCCTCATCTCTACCAATGATTCCAGAGGTATGTTTTTTTTTACTTCTTTTGAGTGACTTTGTGCGATTTTAATTATTGTTAGATATAATCTCCATCACAACTCCTAACCCCCGCACTTGAAACGATGTTGTCATTTTGGGAGTACCAGTTTCGGATCTTATCCTGAATTCCTGATCGACCACCTTTTTCTACTTGATCATTCGAATGACATTTTTGACTTTTAGAAATAGATGGCTAAAGTAGAAAAAAAAATTCTGGGGTGTCGGTTTTACAATGTGTGAAAAAGTCCCACGATTTAAGCCGTTCTTGCCGCATCGCTGGCGGTACCGTGCATGTTTGCATTTCTTCGTTTTTCTCTTTGCACATTTGTTTGCCGCTCCTCAAAATTAAGCACCTTAGGCAAAGGCCTAGACCTAAATCTGGCCATGGAAATACGTGGTTTCACACTTCGGCCAAGTACTTACCTTTGCAGTGAAAATAAATTTACTGAACATGCGAGTGCTTGTAATTCCGACTCAGTTTCATACGGCACGGGGATCCCAACATCAAAAGCGCACGTCTTTTAATGCAGTGGATTTTCCCTCTCATCTTCCTTAATTCCGTTAGCTACTCCTCGTTGTTTGTCTTTCTTAAATTTCTTTTCTAATATAAGTACGTATAATTGATATAATTTATTTTTAACTATACATCCCGTTGCCCCAGAGCCATTACCCTCGATGCTTTATGCCCTGAACGATGTGTGCGAGAGAGATTCCAATGATCTTCAATATAACCACAAAAATTTGCCATCAGGTAACTCTCGACCCCTGCTTTCATGAGTTTATAACACCCTCAATCCTCATGCCCTCATTTCAGGGACAATCGATATCACCTTTCAACTCTGGTGAGCCCGCTTTTGCCTAACTCATGGTTTGAAGGCGAAATACCACAGTATCCCTTGTTTCAGTATGTTCTGCTCAATAAAGCAAAATATGACGAAATATACCTGTTCTTCAGACACTTAAAAGCTCCCACCGAAGTGTATTACATAAATCGGGCACTTACCCGATTAAAATACTTAATGATCTTTGATATTTTAAACGTTAGTGTTGGGATGAGGCAAAATTCGTCGGATTAAATCTGAATTATCAACAGCCCAGGAAAATTACGTTTGTCTAGGCATAGATTATACAGGGTGATCCAAAAGTCCCTTCCACCCCCTCTAACTTTTTACCTAATTGAGGTAAAGATTTGAAACTTGGGGGATATTCCTAGGTCAAAGGGAGCTACTTTTTGGCCCCCCTAAAATTTTCAGGGGGGCCCCCCTTGGGGGGGCAACGGCCCCCAACTTTTAATTTTCAAATGGGAAGACCCCCTTTGTGATAGCTCGTTCGAAAGAGCATAAAAAAAGAAAA